GTATACATGTTCAACGGTTATTGCACAAAAGACAATTGCTTGGGGATTTTCACATCCGTAACTGTACTCGCATGAGCCCAAGAACACACATGTACATCGGAAAGTATCAAGGGATTGTTCCCAATTTGAAGAGTTACTCTTTAAATGATAATAGTGTGTTTCATTGAGGGGAGGAGAGAAGGCGGGACTGTGTCTATGGAGAATGAGTCTGGAGGGAGTTCAGATACCTGTTGGAAACTCACTGGCAGCCACGTGTGATCTCTTTAAGCTTTACTCTCCACAGGGGAAGTCATCTGAGACACTTGCTGCAAGAATTCACTGTATGTTCAATCTGCGTGTTCGTGCATAGACTCCTGTGCAAACGCCACAACTCTGCACAGATATTCAAGGATTCAAAGAAAACTGTTTTTTTTAAGGATAATGAAATTCAATTGTTCTAACAAATTCCATGAAAATACTAAAACAAACAATGAACTGATCCTACTAACAAGTCTTATCTGTGAGTCCAAACCTTGACATGTCTTATTCTCCTGTGCCACAGAGCCCCATGGTTGTTCAAAAACAATTAAAAACATGTCAATAAGCCACACTAGCTGTTCATTCTGATTAAAATGATTCCGATTGAAGATTTCTGATCAAGTGTTTACATGGGGATATGATCTAATGGGGTCTGGTGTTTACATGTGCTGATGCATTAAACAGGTCAGAAGAAGCAAAAGTTTAAGCGGACTTGTTTGAATAGGTTGTTATTTATTATTTTCCTGCTCTCTAGGCATCCAATAATGTTCAGTTCTTTAAGTGTTTGTATCAAAAACATCCTCCCTGCAGAGGTCCATTCAGCTTGGAAGACACTATTTTTTCTAAGTGGAGAAACATATATCCCCATGTCTCATTGACATCAAAACAGAAGGTAACTAGATTTAAACATTTAAATCAGTGTACACAGATTTAGGTGTTTATATGGAGCATTTGTATTCTGTTTGGGCTTTTGGGCTTTTAAACTGATTATAATCTGAATATTACGCTCCATGTAAACGTAGATAGTGTCATACTGCACCTGTGTCATATCAGACCCAGGCCCCCCCATGGTGGCGCTCCTGGCTCCAGTTAGATAGCATCTGATCTATCTAGAGTCTGACAGACCACAGGAACCATGAGTATGCACACACTCATAACTGTCGAAAAACAATAAAATAACCCACCATACACACACACAGTTCAACCAGTCAGGTGAAGATCTAGATTCTACTGAAGGCAACGGGGTCATCATCATCACCATGGTAACGGGCAACACAGTGATGCAAGCGAGCATGATGTCACCGAATAAATCATCCGTGGCCTGCGGGTGTTTTTGTAACCACAGTGATTGTGTGTTTTTTTTATTTTTTACTTTTGGTATTAAGTAAAATCTGGCGCCGCTATCAAATGCAGAACAACAAGACAAAGGGAATATTTCTTGACGAGGTTTATTGTTTCAAAATACATGAATAGAACTTCATCGAAGCATGTCTGCTCTTCACAGTGCATACATGTCCCAACAGACGAGTGTAAAGGCTCTACATGCCCTTTGGGGAAAGACGGCGGAGGTAGTCGACTCGAGTTTAGAGCAGAGTGGAAAACAACACATAACCTTCATAACATGTTTACATGAACTGCAATATTCCATTATTAACCTGATAAAGTCAAAAATCTGAATAAGAATGGCTACAGTGCTGATTACCTTAATCTGAACAAGGCCGTAGTTGAAGAAAATATTAAAGTAGGGCATATTAAGTATTTCAGTTTTAATTAATGGGCATTTTAGACTTGTTTTTACCTTAAATTCCTAAATAGACCCAAAGAGTTAAACACTCAAAAACTGAGATAATCTGCTTCATCAGGACTGTGTGGGTGTGATTTGATCAGATTTGATTAAGAAGTCTGATTGCTGCACTGACATATTGTGACATCCCGTCTCCAAGAGTCCCACCCACTTCAAGCCACAGATAAAACCAAACAGACATGAATCACACAGAGAGTGCATCCTTAGTCATTCATGAGACTCTGCTACGTAGCATTATAGAAGCAATACAGGAGTGGAAGAGTTCAGTAAGATCCCAGGGAATCAGCTTGTTTGAACGCTGTCTTCAGCAGTAGAATTGCAGTTCATGTAAATCTTGTGAAACGCTTTGTACATGAGAGGTTTTGCTCCAAGATGTTTGCTTTTACATAGTGGTTGGTTGGTTTTACAGGTAGACTTCTGACTAGAGCACGGGTATTTTAATGTTAATAGTGAACAAAAGGTTATTCCTCGAAAATGGATATAGAGCACTTTGGAACAAAAATCAGCACATGACCATCTTAAACAAATTCAACACAGCTTTTAGCAATAATACCCCAATCTTCCAGAAATTGTCAAAAAAAATATATAAAAATGTAATCGCAATATTACCAAATAATGTCCATACTTTCACATAAGCGGTACCAATTTTAGCAGAGATTGTCCACCATTTTAAACTTATTTTATAAACGTACATTAAAGAGTGATGAGGGTCGAGTGAGGCACGGAGGTAATCCCACAAGGATGTGGGATACATCTTCAGCTTTCTGTCAAGGTAAGAATATAAACAGAGCTACAATAGATCCTCACAGTTTGGCAAAATACAGTGGAGCATGTTGGTATCATCTGAACATGATAAAAAGTTGTTTCTATAAGAGCAAGAGGTGACTGCTCCCCTATTTCCACCAAACAGGAGCACAATGTCCCTTAAAATGTGCGACAGGAACACAGAGCAACAGCAGATTTACAGTGCAGAGAACTCTCTCCTAAAGATTCAACATCCAACATCACACACAGCATACTGTACATACATCTATACCATCAGACCACGACGTAACCAACGCAATTCAATCATTTATATTCATTATTTATCCTGTTAATGGATACATAAATTCTTCATTACATTAATATAACTGGTATTACCAGCACTGCAACATAGCATCGTGGCTACGAGATAGAGATTCACAACACATCTAAACACAACTCATGCTGGTATATGCGTTTAGTCCTACAGCCGAACTGTGTAAAACATCTATTAAAAAAATATTCTGATTTATTAGGCATGCTAAATGAATGTAAACAATTATAAATCTTTATGAGATTGGCACAACATGTAATGCTGGACTGAGTCATATCTCTTCAATTTAGAGAAATTGCTTTCTTGACTAACGTTAGATGAGATGATACCATCTTCATGCCTGTACGGTAAATATGAAGCTACAACCAGCAGCCAGTTAGCTTAGCAAAAAGACTGGAACAGGGGGAAACAGCTAGCCTACCATCAACTTATAAGCTCATTAATTTATATATTATATATTTTCACAGTTTAATTTGTTTAAGCTTCATAGTTACCACACAGACATGAGGGTGGTATTAATCTTCTCATCTAACTCTTGGCAAGGAGATAAATATGCATATTTTCCAAATGCAGTCTGAGAGCGATTTAGAGATCAATGTGTTTTCTGTCTTCAACGAGATGAGTAAAATGCCAAAAAAAGAGAAGAGAACTTGATATCATTTATTATTAACAGTTAAAGTTATCTTTTCTAGTAATTAGCCTCTCCTACCATATCCTCCATTATTTCAACATGTTGTTTCATGTGTTTCAAAATGAATCTCACTTATTTCTAGAAACATATCTCACGATGACTGTTTTAGATACTAACAAGATACTGTTTAAAGAACAAAATAATAATAATTATGTTGTATGGTTAAAAAATATCCAGTAATACAAAATCAAAGAACCATAAAGAGTCATTTTAAAATGTAGCCTTCATTTCTGACTATTTGAAAATGATAAAGAGCTTTTTGACCCAAACTCTCTTTGTTTCCCACCTTTCAAAATTACTCCTCATTTCTAAATTTTTCTTCCCTTTTCTCACATTGCCGCCACCACAGCATCCCAAAGGCACCTCTCCATGACATGTTGAATCCAAAATAGGCATTCCTTTGTGCTTTTATTCCTTGTTATCGTTGGTGGAAGAAGGAACTTTTTTGTAAAAAATATAACAAATTTCTATGGATGCAGACGGCTTGAGGAGCATGACACATCTGACCTGTGAGAAGAATCGATCCAACAGCCTCCACTCTGTCCAGCAAAGTGGAGAATAATGAAAATAAAATAAAATACAGTACCAATACTTTCCCATCACCAACATCAAACCCCACTTCTTGTCCTCCCACAGCTGATGCAGGCACAAAACACAAGTTATAGAGGACACCATCAACCTGATTTGAGAACAACGATGATGGTGAGCACCTGGTAATACTTCCTGTTACACACCAGACAGGATGTAATTCCAAATAAAGACATAACAAGCAAGCAACTAGAGAATATACTGTTGCTGTGGGAAGCCGGAGTGGGTGAGAATCTCTTGGACAAAATGAAGCGATCAGCATTTTAAATCCTATTCTGGGATCCAACAACATAACAACAATCCTCTTCTCAATTTTTCTGCTTGTCAAGCAACTGAAAAACAAAAATACAATTTCACATTTTCTTCTTGTGCTGATATTTTAGTTTACATTTACATATATATATATATATATATATATATATATATATATATTTACATATATAATTTCTCTATAAATTTCTCGTATAATGCAATTTTAAGGTAAACAACAAAACACTGTATGGACAAAGCCACTTTCCTACAGTCATGGTCCAGGTATATTCACCCACCAAATCTTCTCTATTAGCATTTAAGACCAAGGGCAAACAGAAACAAGTGGACCCTGAGTTGGTACATGGCCTATTCTGGGGGTGAAAAGTGTAAAAACAAGCTGCACATAGAAGTGAAACAAACTATAAGACTACACACTATCCCCATATCACAAACTATCCCTCATGTTGTGCATGTGTATTTCTGTCTTGTGTACTTCTACGGTGCAGCAATTTCGGAAATTTCACTCGTGCTTGTAGAGCCAAAAGCAACTGTTGCAGGATTCAGGCGTGTGTGTGTGTGTGTGTGTGTGTGTGTGTGCGTGCGTGGGTGTGAGACAGATCATTTTGAGGAGGGAGACTGATGCTTCAACCCCATCAGTCCATTAAACCACAGTGATCCCTCCCTCCTCTGGCTCCCTGCTGCCCCAGTCCATCCACACACAGGAGGCCCAGGTGAGTCACTGGCTCCTGGGTTTCAGCTCAGTCTGCACTCTGAAGAAGGTTCTCCGGGTCGAGGCGGTCACGTCCTCAGTTTTAAGATGACCGTGGCCAGGACGATGAAGAAGGTGTTCCAGCCCAGGGTGACTGCGAAGCCTCGCCACACCATCATCCGAGTCAGATCCCAACCTGTTGGAAAGATTTATGTTTATATGTGTGTGTGTTTATAACTGTTTGTTTGTTGCTTATCAAAAGGTAATTGACCCCTTCCCCGCCTCTTTTGGGAACTCCTTTTATCGTCTATGTTGAAAGACAACTACTTTTTGAATTTTCGAAAATAGAATTTTTTGAAAAATCGCTTTAACCATCTTCTAAATGTATTGGCTTTTTCTTTCAACAAAGTCGAGCCTAGCACATAGCATATCTAAGCACAGGAGCAAAAAGGGTCAGTTATTGTCTAAACACAAGCAGCCACACAAGCACTTACAATAAAATGTAGTCATAAAGCAACAGTTTAACATTTTGTAAAATAAGTTAGATTAGCTTGGCACAGGGGCTGGAAACAATGGGAAACAGCTTGCTCTGTCTAGACAAAAACCTCTAAACCAAATCCAACACAGCTAATATAACTCACACTCATCATGTTCTTATTATCTGGATACGAGTTTATCCAGGCTGTAGTGAATGCATGCAAGCAAAACATGGATATAAGAGATACAGTTCAAATGAATCCAATCCGTGAATTTGGCAGGACACAGTTGCAAAGAAGTTTCAGTTCATCCAACGAATTGAATTCTGACACTGTCGACTTCTGCCTGTGTCTCGTCTTCCACTGCACCTCTACGATAAGGCTTTCAAACAGGAAACAGCTCCTCTGACTTCCTGTGCTTGGTGCCTATCATGTAACATGGAGGGAGCTCTGGGTCGTCGTCAGGTCTTATTGTTCAGAGAAGATGAGGTCAAGAGAAGGAGAAGGATTGAGACACGGAGCGAAACCCTTATACCTTACATTCCAGGAAGCTGAATTACACAGGATCCAGAGCTGATTAATGATTTAGACGACTGGCTGTTACACTGGCTACGTTGTCTAAGCCATGTGCATGCGTCTAACTCTAACACACGTTAACTACACACCAGAAACCAAAACATTATGGGACTAATGAGTGTAACATGCACGAGTATATTACCTCTGTACATGATACATCGAAGGGCTTCTGAGGCGTAGGTCTGAGGAAGAGCTAGGCTGATGTAGCGCAGAGGATAGGGGATACACTCCACAGGCCAGATGATACCTAAAGTACAGAACAGAGAGGATACTGCGTAAGATGTCATTTACACCTGCTGTTAACATACAGTCTTTAACTGGCTGTTCTATGCTAATAATGAACCACATAAAGCATTTAAACAATATCTGGTTTCTGGTTTCTCTGGTTTACCCTGTTGTAATGTTTTACTTGAACCATCCAAAGCAGGGAAGGAAATGAGGAAGTGGCAACAGAAAATAACATAAAAAACAACAGCCTGGAAACAGTTGTTCTCAGGAATGCAATCGCATAATCTTCATCAGCAGATGATGTTTCACCAGTTGACTAGTTCAAATGTCCCTTTTTTTCCTGAGCACTTTGAAGGAGCGCTGACTGAAATGCCCAGTAGTAGTAATTTCTGCCCTTCAGGGGTCGACCACATCAAATCATTAACAAAACACATAGTTTGATGACATAGACGTAGTGCAAGATTGTGGTTGTTGTCTTCATTGTTAAACCACCACCATTGTCAATGATGTGATAGAAATCACGTTCACGGACGAGGTATTAAAGTTTTATTCATGTTACATTTAGTCCTCCACTCACTGACTTCCTTCCGAACTCTCGCCATGACGCCATTGACAGGAGACCAAATGAAACACACCGTAACCTTGAATAAAATGATGGATTTCTCTGGGTGAACATTGAACATTGTTGGAAACATTTGGCATAATGAACTACACAGTCCAGTCTTCCTGAAGAGTTTTGGTGGTGTCAACCAACCCAACAAATATTCATATATATTCTACCAACAGACATCCAGTTCACAAAAACATCAAAGAAATTATAATCAGTTGTCCTGGTTGAATAATGGTCCAGCAAGGCCTACCGCTGATGATGAGGTTGGGGTAGAAGATCCCCAGGGCGGCCTGGTTGGCATTCTGCTCGTCGTCGATTGCGGCTGAGATTACGAGGCCAAACGAGATGCCAGTGATGCCCTGCAGCACGATCAGAATTATGACCAGCACCAAGGATCCCTCATTAGGTATCTGCAGAGAGAGAGTGAAAGATGGGGGTAGAGTGAGAAGAGGTAACAAACTAAGACAAGTTCAAGTTAGTTTCACAAAGCTGCAGTGGACCTAAAAATGCAATAAACTGGTTAAGAGAGTGAGATAAAGAGTGTTAAAGGCATTTAGTCATATAAATGATTGTTACAGGCACAAAATATAAATTAGCAACTTTTTACACAAGCTTTCCTAATCCATTCATGGATGAAAATGGTATTTCTCCATTTTTCAATACACAGCAGCAAATTCTACAATCTATAATATACAATTTAAAGATAGCTCTCATTTCTGTATCCACTTGGATAAATTGTTTATTTTGTAAATTCTTAAGGCGAACTTCACCAAAGTCTGTTTCCTGGCAATGGGGAGTACTACTGCATATGAGAAAAAGTTGTATAAAGCGATTTGTAATTGTAGAAGCAGCTGCATTAAAACTGATAGATTGCCTCAAGTGATGTCACTCGAGTCAGCATCGGTTGCCGCTGAAGACTACAAGTCTGGACAAAAACTGGGGGAGTGGAGCCAGAAACAAGTGAGCTCACCAGACCTCTGTAGCCTGCTCTTCATCTAGGAACTGGGATATAAAGGACTATATATCTGGTTTGGCTGCATCACATCTTGATCCCTAAATCAGAGGAGTGCTTATTTAAGGAATATGAGAACAGATGAGAAGATAAGATCAAGACAAATGGACATAAAGGGAACAAGGGAGAAACCTTCAGAGACAGAAACACTCTCTGATGTTCTGCACTGATCTTCAGCCAAAAACACTACAAGAAATGGAAAGAAATGCCACTGCTGATTAAGTTTGGTTGTGAATCACACAGACAGAGGGGAGTGTAAGCAGAGCAGAGGCCTTCCACAAGACGTTAAACTATTCAAAATCAAATAAAAACAGAGAGAAAAGTGTCAGCTCCGAAGATTCAAGGTGATAACTCTCTTAACTTGAGGAGAATCTGCAGCCATTTGTAAGACTGAGTCTCCTGTTGTGTGTGTATGTGTGTTGGTGCACTTGTCCTCAGTGTGTTAAGACACTATCCGTCTCCCCTGACAACGTGCAAAAATAGACCTGCACCGAGAGGCCACATGACTACTCGGTTGCCACAGCAATCAAGGGCTGTTGTCGTGGCGATCCCACAGTGATCCCTGGATATAGCCAACGCTGGAAGTGATTTATGCAGTGGTGGTCTCTTTGGACTTCAGCACCTTAATTAACACACACACACACACACACACACACACATTGACAGACAGAGAGACGAGAGCAGACACCCATAAAAAGCATGTGCCTGCATGGACTGAACGCACAGATACAGAAGCAAACAGAACACACACACACAAATGATAGCTATCATCTCTTGTCGGTGTGCCTTCTCCCTGTATTGATCCTACACACATGTCTATTGAAAATCAATAATTTGACAGAATACCCACGTTCCCACTGATTCGTTGTTCACACAGTAAACGTGACCCTGTTGACCTTCAGACTCCGATGGACTCACACAAGATTTATTTCCTGTCACACACTGTTCATTTTATAGTAAACAATCAAATGATACAACATGATCTTGTAAAATAAAAGTCTGCTCAATGGTTAAAAAACATAATTATGCCTCTAATGTGCTGTACTGTAAAATCAGATTTTTGCAATGTGGTAAAAATGCAAATGAGCAGGGTAACAGACCTGCAGGGTTTGGGACACATTAACCTTCAACATGTTGAACTCTCCACAAACCAAATCATATTAGTAACGCCGTGACTTTTTAAGGGGCTTTCGACTCCTTTTATGAGTCTTCCAGTCTCAAGAAAATGGCTTAAACAGCAACTTAAATAGAACAGGAAATATTATCATGTGTGTCTACCTCAAAACTTCAACTTTCACATTGACAGTGTTGTGGTTTCAATAAAGTTAAAACAGGATTGATCCTGATACCTGTGTGACTGGAACAGTCAGCTTTGTTTATACAGTATAATCAAACCTGTATTTCTATTGGTTGTTTTATTACTTAGTCTATATTTTCCCGCTATTACTTTCTTCCCTGCGGGTCTTGTTTTTGCTGCTGTAGACCTGCTTCCCCAATCAATAAAGCCTTATCTTATCTGAAGAGTGTTTGCGTTTGTCAGTGTCGGTTTTATTGCCTGCATCAGGAGGACAAACCTTGAAGACGAGCAGTATGAAGAGGAGCAGCAGGAGGATCTGAACGCTGATGACAAACAGCTGAGAGAAGAGGTGAGCCAGCATCGTCTCCAGAGAGCTCACACCTGGTAGAGAGACATAGACACACAGTGAGAGAGAGAGAGAAAGAGAGAAAGACAATGCGTTATTATTCACTTATAAGTTCTGATATCTGAAGTATATCATCATTAGCACATTTTCATTCAGTCTCATCTGAATCTAAATGGCCATAACAAAGACTTCCAATACATTTTTGATAATAACAATACAGTTTACAGCTCCCTGTTAAGTTATTAATCCTTTAAAAGCTATAAAATCAATAATTCATTATGAGTAAAAAAGAAACCCCCAAACAACTCCCCCGGTGTGTTTGCTTCCTAATCTCTGATCATATTACTCCCCCTTCTGGTCATGACTCAAATTACATTCAAATGACACACTGTGTGAGGTTCATGTTTTTTTT